TGTAGAGTGGAGTCTCCCAAGGTCCATTGTCAGTCAAATGTTTCTTGACTGGGCACTTAATCTGAAAATTCCTTCCTCAAGAAGCTGACCAAACGCTTCACTTAGAATCAAACACATTGAGATACAAGTGTATAGCTAATATTCATAACTTCAAATACAAAAATGATACGCACATACAGACAGCATAATTATAACCAGCAAATTACAACCTTTTCATAGAGACCTTACTTGCACAAATCTTGTACAAAGGAAGTCAACTATAGGACCTTGGTTGCAACAATGATCTATATGGTCACAGTTCATGTCAATAACATCACACATGATGACATGGGTAGTAGCACCGGAGACACGGCGTGGCCGTGCCACGTACATGCCCCCCATTTCAGGCATGTTTGTACTCAACACAGCTAAGTCAGGCTCTGCTGCCGTCGCTATGCTGCTATTTACGTATGTCTACGAACAGCAACTCACACCCAGCTCATAGTGTAGACATAGCCCGAGACAGCCCCTGTTTCCCCCCCCCCCCCCGCCCAGCAGTGCCATTGGGTCTCAGGGCAATGAGCAGCCTCAGGGCTGGGCCTGGGAAAATCTGTCTTTCTCATCTATAAACTCACTCTATTAATATCAGGTGTCTTTCCATAGCCATTGCCAAGGGCGGGGCCGGAGAGCAGTGCTGTCAGCTCGTCAGGCTCACCTCCCGAATGGGCCAAGTGTGACGACAACACTGGCAGGTTCCCGGCCCTGCTCAGAGTCAGGGCCATGGAGACCCCAGCTACAAGAGCTGTACCTTGTGGGATGAGGGCTGTTCGCCCCAGGAATTGGGGGTTCCACTGGCCCCTTTCACTTACCTCCTGTCCAATAAAGAGTCCGGTGGTACCTTATAGACTAACAGACGTATTCGTGGGTGAATACCCACTTTGTCAGATGCATGCATGTATTCACCCACGAAAGCTCATGCTCCAATACGTCTGTTAGTCTATAAGGTGCCACAAGACTCTTCGCTGCTTTTACAGATCCAGACTAACATGGCTACCCCTCTGATACTTGACTCCTCTCCAATGTTTCTGTGTCCCCAGGTTCTCTGAACCCACCCACCCAAGCCCCTACATTGCTGCCTTTCCTGTTCCGGGGTCTGCTCGCCCATTTCTAAACTTCATCAACCTGGAGAGAAATGCATATTAGAACCAGCATGGTACATGTCAGTGTGAACAGAGCAACTCCCCACCAGGGAACCCTGCCTCTCAGTGACGTAAGAACATAAGGACGGCCAGACTGGATCAGACCAAAGGTCCATCCAGCCCAGTATCCTGTCTTCTGACAGTGGCCAGTGCCAGGTGCCCCAGAGAGAATGAACAGAACAGGAAATCATGAGGTGATCCATCCCCTGTCGCCCATTCCCAGCTTCTGGCAAACCATCCCCAGCTGGGGAACAGGGGCCTTGCACCTGGCCTGAACCTCAGCATCCCCAAGGTCTGCCTGCCCGAGATGGGGAGTGAATTCGAGAGGGGAAGACACCCCCCCACCCGAGGTCCTTCAGAATCCAAACCGAGGGAGACTGAGCAAGCGCATGTTAGCTGAGTTCAGTGGCCTATTGGCCTCCCCTTTCCTACCTCCCCCACCCCCTTCTGAAGGGTTGCCAACCCTCCAGGATTGCCCTGGAGTATCCAGGAATTAAAAATTAATCTTTCATTAAA